TATCGTGATCTTCCTTATCGATCGAGAAACGATAACGTAATTCCCAGTGAACACATGTCGGCACAGATACGTATTAATTTAACCGTTTAGCGTGCACGTGTTTGCGTATAAAGCAAAAGGGGATGGGACGGTCGCGTGACACGCTTTCATTTCCTAGATCTCGAAGGAAACTATATAAACCGGGACACCATAGAACTGGAGAGAGCACACTTACATTTGTCTTCCCCCTCTTTTTTAATCTCTCTTAATTATATCTCTCGTCCCCCTGTAAAACCAACGAGCTACCGAGTTCGTGGAAAATCGTAATTGCACGTTTGCCCACGTTCCATTGCTGCTTTTTATACCGTGAATTAGAATATCGTGGAGCACATCGTGAAACGCCTCGGGAGTGGCTATTAAAACCATTATTTATACCTTCATTCATCGGCCAGCGAGGAAGTTCAACGATCCACTTTATTAATTTTTTATTGCTGAAATTCAACGAAATTGATAGATATTTCAATAATAGTATTTTTAAAGTTTCGTGACTGAAGAAGAAGCTTGTTTCACGATAAATGGAATAAAATAAATCCAGGTATATTCACAGTTAGACCAGAGGACTTCTCAAAATGTGGATAATTAAATTTGGGAGTCGCAGAAATTTTAACAAAAGCTAAAAAAATTCCTGGACGTACAGTGAGCGAAAATTAGTTCAAAACCAGCTTGGTACCGAAGAATTTCCTCGTAATTTATTGTCAGCAAATGTTTTAATTTATATTCCTAGTTTATATATTTCCAGGATGGCGAAAATATTTGCTCGGATAAAGAGGGTCGAGTGGAAAAATTCTAATTCTAGAATTAGAAAAATAGGAACTCTGCAGAAAATTCTTTCATCCAACGACTTTCCGAATTTGATTACACTTTCATCTAACTTTTTTTTCTTTTTTTTATTCGTCAATGTTAACGAGAGAAGCTTCGAACTTCACCTCGAGTTCAAAAGCAGTCTGGAAAATACTCGTCTCGCATCCCTAAGTTTTTTATTCTTGGAAACCAGATACATCGTATTACAGCTGCGGTCAAATGGCTACACCATGGATGGATTACAAGGACGTGCGAGCAGATCGAAAATTAAGATCGATTCACGCGATTACACGAGATTACATAAAGCAATTAGGAATATTTTACAGGTTGGTACCTACAATTTTAACACGTTACATCAGCTTGATTTATCAAATATTCATTTATTATTTTAAATTGCTGGCTCTATGAAACGCCGACAATTGTAAAATAATTGTTGGAAAGCCAAACGATCGCTAAGTAGCGATCACGTAAATATAAATAGCTACATTATTATATTATGTCTGTTATGTAATACTATACGCGATAATTTGCATAATTGT